TTTTCCTTTGTATTCTGAAACACCCTGAAAAAATGGCATGCTGTTGTTACTTCTCTTTGCTTCTAACCCCAACAGTCATAGCAGACAAGTTACCCTTGACTGTAATATACTGCAGGCAGTCTGTATGACAGTTTTAACGAAAAACTCACTGCAACTATGCTTCTTAATTTCATTTCTAATACTTGGCAACTGACACACCTACAGTGCCTTACAGTTAAACATGCAAGGCAAGCAACAATTTATTTCATGCAAGCAGTCTGCCAGATTCAATTGTCAAGGTGATCTGCAAGAACCAAGTGCAATTAGGATGAACTACCCTATACTTTCTCACCCAGCGTTAATAAAATTACATCCAGAGTGGCACTTCATAGGTACAAATTGTGTATTTGATGCCAAGACAAACATTAGAAGAACACAAGAAATCACTGGAAGATGCTTCAGTATACAGCAACATGTGATGCAGTAATATAGTATGATTTATGACTTGAGACATGCCCACCATACAAGCTGTCTACATTGCAGGGTCAGCTGTTCTCAGATTAAGACCAGTTTAGACCAAATGACAGCAGAAGAGTGCTTTCAAGTATACCAAAATTCAACTGTGCAACTTGTATTGGCTGTATACGACAACACAATCTGCAAACACAGATAAGCACTATATTTGCTAAACTGGCATCATATTGTAAGTTTCCCCACAAATCAAAATAAATTCAGCTGTGCAACTTGTATTAGCTGTATACGACAACACAATCTGCAAACACAGATAAGCACTATATTTGCTAAACTGGCATCATATTGTAAGTTTCCCCACAAATCAAAATAAATATCAAGACCCTCATTTGAAAAAAAAAATCAACAGTGACTTAGGACAGTGATGGCGAACCAATGGCATGTATGCCACAGCTGGCACGCAAAGGCCTCTCCACTGGCATGCAAGCCATAAGTCGTCAGATCACTACCCCTCCCCCCACCACAGCCAAACCTCAGGATCATAAGCCACCTTTCCCTGCTACCTTCCTTGGTTGTGGCACTGGTAAATCAGGTTTTTTTGAAGATCAGAGATAAAGCTGTTTATTGTCTACTGCTTTAGAAGAGCCCACCAAAGTTAATCCAGCTTGTGAATTGCTACTTCCCCTGGAAGCAGGAGGGAAGGCTCCAATTAAGGCGGGAAGGAACGTGCGAGAGAGGGAGACAGGTGAATTCATCAAGCTTGTTTAAATGTATTAAGAGGAAACGGGATCATAGTGAGCTGAAGCAAATGACTGTAGAAAATTTAGGGAAGGAGAGAGGGAGGGTGTGTTTGTGCGCATGCACAAGAGAGACTGACTCATAAAACCATGAAAAAGGAACCTTCCAAAGTGTGTGTGTGTGTGTGTGTGAGAGAGAGAGAGTGAGAGAGAGAGAGAGAGAGAGAGAGACTCTTTCATAAAACCATTTAAAAAAGGAACCTTCTAAAGTGTGTGTGTCTATGTGACTGAGAGACTGACTTTCATAAAACCATGAAAAAAGGACCCTTCCAAAGTTAGGAATGGACCTCAACAGATGGGAAACCTTGACATCTGAGTATTCAGTCTGGAGGCAGGCGATGCATCACAGCCTCTCCCAATTTGAAGAGATAGTTGTCCAGCAAGCCGAGGCAAAGAGGCAGTCCCAAAACCAGCAAAATCAGGGAGCTGGATAGGGGACAGATTGTATTTGTCTTCAGTGTGGAAGGGATTGTCATTCTTGAATTGGCCTTCTCAGACACACTAAATGCTATTCCAAGACCTCTATTCAGAGCATGCAACCATAGTCTCTTGAGACTGAAGGATACCAACACATACACAGCAGTAACTTTGCGTTATGCTGCTGGCAACATCATGAGAGAAGAGCTGCTGAAACTGTTGTCTTTGCCTGGAGGAACACAAGGGAAAGATACAGTGGTGCCCTGTTTGATGCTTACCTCACATGACATCGAAATTGCTTGATGCTGACATTTTTGCGATCGCTATTGCGATCGCAAAACGATGATTCCAATGGGGTTTTTTCGCATTATGTTGATTAGGAGCCTGCTTCGCGAACCATTTGTTCGCAAAATGTTTTTTCTGGCTCCGCAAAATGGCTTCCCTCCCTTCTCAAAATGGCTGCTTTCCGGACAGAAGCTTCGCATTACAGCAAATTAGAACAGCTGACTGGCGGTTCTCTATGGGCAATCTTCGCTGGACGATGAGGTATTTCCCCCATTGGAACGCATTGAACGGTTTTCAATGCATTCCAATGGGGACTTTTTTGCTTGACAACGATTTCACTCAACAGCGATTTTCCTGGAATGGATTATTGTTGTCAAGCGGGGCACCACTGTATCTACAATGCTGAGATGGAGGCTTTTTTGTCATAAGATATAAGAGCAGAAAAAGTAGTTTCAGTTACTAGTGACGGGGCACTTTGCATGGTGGGGGTTACATCTGATTTCATACAGTTCTTTGTTAAAGACGTAAAACATCTGGTCAAGCAGTTTCATTGTATTATACATCAAGAAACTCTTTGTGCCAGGGAAAACAGCAAAAAATTAGACAATATCCTCAGAGATGTCACAAAAATGGTGAATTACATCATGGCTTGTGCTATTAATTTTTGACAGTTTCAAGCACTTCTTGATGGGATCCAGGCACAGTATAATACTTTACTTAAGTACAATAATGTCTGGTGGCTGAGCAGAGGTCAAGTCCTGGAGAGATTTGTAGCCTGCTTGGATGAAACTACAGTAGGTTGTTTATTACTGAAAAGGAGTAAGAATATTCACAGCTCACTGATATGGCCTTGCTTACCAACCTCATGCTTCTTACATATTTTACAGCACGCTTCAATGTACTGAACAAAAAACTGCAAAATAGGAGAAAGGATGTTTTGTGAGATCAGAACATTTGAGAGAAAACTGCAGGTTTTTGAGAGAGAACTTGAAAATGGGTAGCTGAAATATTTTCCAAATGTAAAAATGCATTTGGAAAATTCTACAACATTTACGGACAATCCTACATGCCATTAGGAAATCTACAAGCAGCTGCAAAGGAGAATTTTAGGAATAGATTTTTAGAGTTCCGTAAGAGGAACTCTGTTATTGTGCATTTATTTTAAGAGAAAATGTGTTCATTAGTTCATTGAGTTGTTTTTTCTAAACTAAAACCTCAGTATTCAGGTTTAATCACAGTGTTAGCACTTCGAAAGAAATAATTTGGTTTTGTATTGCAGTTTGGGCACTCGGGCTCAAAAAGGTTCACCATCACTGACTTAGGTCAGCCGCACAGTGACACAAGATAAATTGTCTGTACCATTTGGGCGTATAGCTGAATAGATAGTATGAGGCACATATCTCTGGAAGTACCCCGAGTAACCTGTTTCTGATTCTGTTACTGTCATCAAAAATGCCCAGAGTGTACACGAAAGTATTCCACATCTCTGCTGCAACTAACGCAATATATTCAATATCAAAATCACAATAAGCTGCATGAGCAGCTTTTACACAATCCTAATGGACTCAACACCACAGAGGTGACATAGGAATTAACTCCAAGACACATTCATTTGAAGTTCATTAACAATGTGCTAATGAGACTGCCTCTCAGTTTCTACACTTCAAGGGAATTTCTGCCACTCCTGGAAAATGTCAGCCTATACTCCTAATACTACTGATGCTATATCACAGTCAACCAACCAAAGTAGAACCATTCTTGAAACCCTGTTATGCAATTCTGTGTGTGCAATGTTGTGGTATCAACAGCATCGAACTGCTGCTGATAAAAGGCAAATCAAGGTGCATGTGACTTGTAGATAATGCAGTTAAGTCACATGCACCCCAAAATTGCCAAAGGAAGCTTTAATTTGTGGTGATTTGTCAACAATGACATAATCACCACTGCACATGCGGAGCTTTGTCACAGGATCTCAACCAATTGTGTCTTTCATGAACTATTGCAAAGGCCCAGGGAGGAGGCAGAGATTTTGTCTGAAGTAAGATGGACAACTATCATGGGGTGGTTAACACTAAATGCTCTTAAAACAATTTACCTTAAGGAGAGCCTAGAAAAGCAGAACATCTAACAGCAAAATGTGAAAATGAAACAAATTTTAGAAAATAGCAGGGCATACCTATTACACTAGATAACAGGAGACAGCATGTATAGCAACAATGAAACACATTTTTTTAAAAAGTAGCCTGACTTGCAAAGACATGATGTAAGATTTCAGGAATCACATAACTTTACGAGAAAAGTGCCATTGTAAAGTTTCAATTTAGGTTTAATTGCAGTGTTAGCTCTTCGAAAGAAATAATTTGGCACTCTCCATTAAGGAAGTTCTTAAAGAAGACAGAAAAGCAGAGACTTTTAGAAACCCTAAAAGACCTTCTGTAGGTACCGTGTATGTACATATCAAGGCTCAGTCTGTATTAAGGATAAATACAGTCTGTTTTGTATGCCAGGGTCAAGCCTTAAAATATATAAAATAACCAACAAGGACGGACCGAAGGAAGAATTCGATGCTAGTCTCTTAGAAGAGGAAAAAAGGAGGAAACGTGGGACACAAGTCCCACACGATTCCTTGGACCTGAGTCTACTTCATCGGATGTATCCACGCCAATCGCCCCTATCGGATGTCCCAACGCAAACCACCTTCAGTCTTCAACAAGCCTAAAGGTTCAGAGGATGATGGAGCGCACGTCCACCAGCCCTGATGCCTCCTACCAGCCCCCACCCACCCACCAACCCCGCGGGATGCAGGAACGGAAAGGACGGCCCCCGCGGACCACGGCCTTCCAAGGCTTGCTTGAGCTGGTCAGCGCTTAAGGGAGGGGGGCGACAAGGCACCCCCTTCGCGGCTCCCGGGGAAGCTGCAGAGCAGCCAAGGCCAGCAGCGCCTGCCAGCTGCGCTGCCCGCGGCCGAAGGCTCCGGAAGGCGGCAGGGAGGACAGGTGGGGGGGGACCGGAGGGGGGGACCCCCACTCCCTCTCTTGCCCGGCCACTCACCGAGGCGGTGCCTCCACCCGGCTTGAAGCCGATCCTCCTCACCAGCATGATGCGGCTGCCCCACTTTTTGCCGCCACTCGCTGCAGCCGCCGCCACCGCCGCCGCTTCGCCTTCCACCACAGCCGCCACTGTCAAGGCCACCACCTCCGCTTCCCGGGCCGAAGCTGCCAGAGGAGGAAGAAGCAGCGGCGGCGGCGGCGGCGGCTCCGGCTCGGGACTCATTGCACCGCCATCCTTCCCCGGAGGAGGAGGAGGCGGCGGCGGCGGCGAGGCAGGGCCTCCAGGCGGCCTCCCGCCGGCTCCTTCATCTGCTGCCACCGTCGCGGAGACCCGGCGAGGCGCGCGGGAAAGGGAAGGCGGCAGACTGGGAAAGCCTCTGCTGCGGCGCCGCCGTTCCTCCGCGCTCTCCGAAGAAGCCTCCCGGCACACGTGACTTCCCCGAGACCTGCCCTTTGCAAGGGACTTCACACCGGAAACTACGTCACACAGGGAGGCGGGGCTCCCGCAAAGCTAGGCTGACGGGGGGGGCATAGGTAAGGTATTGTCATTTTATTGTACTATTGTTTTGGGTTGAAACATTTCCGGCTGGGAGGGGCCCGCTTTCAAAATGGAGTTGTTAAAATTTCTTTATTAGGCGTCAAGTTTGGGGGGGCGCCTTCCAAGCTCTCTTTTGGCCATTCATTTTAAGCACTAAGGAAACCACTTTCTATTATATTTCTAATTATATTATGTTTGCAGATAGCTTAGTGAGGATGGGCGCTCAATTCCCCCGCTCTGCCTTCTAGAAGAACCAATATGATCTTCTTGCCTTGAGGGAAAGCTGCACAGTCCCAAGGCGCGCACGCACACACACACCGGGAAAAGGCGGTGGCAAATCACTACTGAGTACTCTACACTTAAAAAGTCCTAGCAAGGAGGATTATACTGGCACAACACTGGAAAAATGAAGGAAGTACGCTTAAAAAGTCCTAGCAAGGAGGATTGTACTGGCGCAAAATTGGAAAAATGAAAGAATACCTACAGATGAAGAAATAATTAAGATTTTGGACTGTGCAGAAATGGACAGTCTTACGTTGAAAATTAAAGAGAAAGAAGATTCAGAATATTTTCAAACATGGAATCTGATATGAAAACACTTTGCACAAATCCTTGTTTCCGTTAGAATCTCTGCCAGTGGTTTGGCAATATTGTGCAAGGTGATGCAATGAAACAGGACACAAACTGTACTGAATATAGAATGAATGATAGAAGAGCTAGAAACTGATGGTCCTTCCAGACTAGACCTTTTCTGCACACTTACCCTGCCTGAAACAAAATTGTACACAGCAAGTTAAAAAAAAGAATTACATATGTTATCTTCAATATATACCCCATGTATTCTCCTATTGCTTATGCAATCTTTCCCTAGCAAAAAGAAAATGTTGAGGGGAAGGACACTCACTGTTAGTTGTCTACCTAGTCTGAATAAGGGGAATAGTTTGTCCTGCCCTCCTCAGATTGGGAGCTGCCTCAGGAGCAGCAGCAGCTCTCAAAAGCATTTTTTCTGAAGGAAGAGAAAAAGATACAAGTGGGAAAATGTGGAAGGAAAGTGCAAGTGGAAAACAGCACCACCTGGGCTGCCCCCCCACTCCATTAAGCTCTATCAACAGGCAAGGTAACTGTAACAGCCACCTTATACCTCACAAAGGGGCTGTTATGTCACACTCAATCACTCTTCGTTTCCACTGCCACCAACCATCCCCTCCAATAAAGCTTCAGGCCAAAGTGTGATTTCAAAATAAAAACTTAGGTTTATTGTGTACAAACAAAAGGAATGGTAAATCACTTGAATATAAATAATAAAGCAATCACTATAATAATATAACAATAACACACACACTCTCACAGACCCTCACTATGTAGCACAGTTCTTATCTCTTAGTATCTCCAAGCCTTATCTCCCTATCTCAACCCTATCTCTAAGCCCTATCTGGCCCTATCTGAATCTCTCACACCATTCACTCCCCTTATATACAACAGCTCCACCCCTTCTGTCCCACCCTCCATCACGCCATTGGTAGATGATACACAGCTTCAGCCGTGACGGGCAGGTGATGTCATAGCTGTCTGTAACAGTAACAGTGTGTCAAAAGCCTTGTCTGGAAGCATCTTCATTATGCAGGGCTTGGCCTCATTACTCTCACTGTCACCTTTTTCCCCCTCTCTCTTTTCAAGAACTAATTTTCCATTTTAGCATCCCCTTTTCTACAGGCAAACTTTGCATGCACACCAAACAAGACAATATAGCTTTTTGTTGGGTCCTAAAAAATGTACTGTACTGTGTTTCCTCTCCCCTTTCTTTAATAAAAAAAACAACTTCCCTACATCAGCATGATACTTTTTCTTGATCGTTTCTGATCAACATTAGAAGATGGTCCATCCACTCCTTCTTCTGGAGCCACTGCTTATTTACATCTCATCTGACTCAACTCAATTGACTCGACTTAATTCCTCCTCTCAGGCGCCGCCTTTTAACATCTCTCTCAGCCCTACCTCTTAACCTCATTAACATATACCATGAATAATTCATAACTTAGAATACATCTCTTAGGGTGTTTGCCACATACCTCCCCCTTTAAATATGTTTGTTTGGGAGGGGAAACACGTTTTCCATCCTAAACAAACAGGCCTCAGTGAATAAAAACTCTAATTACCCTCTGGCAACATTCTGCAAGCAATACAACATCTTATATATCAACCACAAGATCTTTTCACTCTAAACATTCCAATGCAGTTCCATTACATACTTTACCTTTTAATTTATATTTACAACATTTAATATTACAATCCTACAGAAATATAACATATTCATGAAAATGTTACATAAATTAAATGGTTACTCCATTCAGGTTTTTTCCCCCATTAGTCATTTGGCCTTCGAGGCAAGGTACCAGCATCCACACTCTGAGTCCCTTTTATGCTGTGAATTACAAAGTCCAAATCTTGCACACTCCCGTTGTCATCTTCACACAGCGCCTCTCCAAGTCCAACACTCGATGTATCTGTGAGGATGGTGAACTCCCTGCTGTAGTCAGGTACGCTGTGGTCTGGTCCAGTCGTTACCGCCTCCTTCAGTTGGTCACACAAATGCTGGCACTCAGGGGTTCCTCTGATGATCTCTATCTCCTTCCATCTTCAGCCAACTAGCAGTCATAGGGCCCTCTGTTGTCCACTGGACATCCTCTCCTTGCCATTTCTTAGTGAAGCCTGCTTTCATTCTGGCTTAGGGGTTCACTTTCTCAGCTGGGGAATGGGTAGGCAGTTCCCTCTCCTCCTCCCGAACATCTCTGGATGTGTCCCTCTTTAAGAAGTCAGGGCTTACGCCTTCTTCCTCACACCCAAATTCACCCACAGGTACTTTCATTGCAAAGTTTTCCCTATGTGGGGAAGTACTACCATGGGTCATCTCCAAACTCACAGGCAGGTTTCCTTTAAGTGCACTCTCAAACACTTGGTTTATTTTAGATGCACAGAGGTTCTCCTCTGGTTCTATTTCTTTATTCATTGATAATCTAGGTAGAGGTTTGCCTTGCAAGGTTTTAGGGTCTATTTCAGCTGCAGAGCTACGAGACTTTTCCCTCCAGTGCTGGTGCAACACATCTATAGGTTCTGACCCTGCCAAAGGCAATTTGCTCCGCTCTATAGATCTCAATTCCACTACTTTGTCCTCAGGACAGAAGGATCTTTCCTGGGCCTCATACAAGTTTTTCTCCTTTTCAGGAGTACTTCCCAAGCTTGGCTCTGCCTCTTCTAAGGACTTCTCTTTATACAAAAGATCCTTATCTCAGCAAAGTCCCTCAGGGCACTCAGGAGACAATAAAGTGGGGGTACTGGCCGCTTCAAAGCAACCCACCAAGCTAGTGTCCTCCTTCTGCTCCTGGGCAAAACTATTTTTATTAGAGTTCTTTAAAAGCATGAGATCACTTTCTTTTTTTAATTTTTTTTATTCACACAGAATGCAGACAAAGCAAATAGAGACAAGAAAACATAGAAAGAGAAAAAAGAAAAGGAAAAAGAACTAACTCCTAAACCTAACCCCCCCCCCCCTTTGGAGTCCGAGACTCCAGCTTCGTAAACCTATCTGCTCCCCCGCTTTCATTTCCAGTATGTGCTAATTAGATATACATACATCATAAACTTTGCCCTACACTCCTGTCTTCTTCTGGGCCCAAGAATATATTAGTTCCCAGCTTTGTTTTACATAGTCTCTTGGTTGTTCCCGTAGTGCTTCTGATAGGGTGTCCAGTTCTGCTATGTCCCATATCATCATTAATAGCTTTTCCATCGTTGGAACCTCTTCGGTTTTCTATTTTTGGGCCCAGAGTAGTCTAGCTGCTGTGAGTGTATATATAATACAATGCTTCAATTTATTATCATTAATGCCTGATATGACATTCAATAATGCCATTTCAGGTTTTATATCTAATTTCTGCTGGGTAATTTCTTTTACTACATCCAATATCTGTGTCCAGTAATTTTTGACTTTTTCGCATGTCCACCACATATGATAATAAGTTCCTGCATTCTTTTTACACTTCCAGCATGAGATCAGTTTCTGAACAGCTATTAAATTGACTATCCAGGAATTGTTCTCCTTCCAGGCTTCCCTCTCCTACAGTATCCATTTCTGCTTCAGTGGGTAATTTCTGGCCCCCTTGTGAGCGTGTAAGTACAACATGCTCTTAACATGCTCTATCAAGTTTAAACCCTCTCTATAAATCAGGTCTTTATCAGTTATAGACCTTTCCAGGTGTTCAGGGGTCAGTGGAATGGGATTCTCGCTAGCTTTTGTAATACAATCATTTAAAGTACTATCTTCCTTCTGTTCACCAATACAGGAAGTACTATTAGGGGTTTTCAATATAACCTCATCAGCCATTTCCGCTACCTCAGGGTTCTTCTCTAACCTGGGGCATCCCTTGTCTGATTCAGAGGTTAGGGATTCCATTCTTCCCTCAGGGATTGTTAACTGCTCTCCCAGGGAACATGTTACTCCAAAAGCACTTTGCACATGCTTAATGAGATCTAGCCCAATTAAACAAGATACTGGAATTTGATCTGAAATTGCCACATCCCAAATTCCGACCCAATCTCTATAGTCATCTTTACTTTAGCCATAGGTAAAGTCACTGGAGTAGAACTTATTCCCTTGATTTTAGCAGTTTGGTTTGGAAGTATTTGTTCTTTAGGAACCACATCTGGATAGCACAGGGTTATGTTGGAGCAGGTATCAACAACTCCCACTTAAGACTTCTCATTAATAAGAATCCTTTCACCAGGGTTTTGTACTAAAATATCTTATGTCTTTACAAGACAACACTGAATTACCTTGGCTAGTGGCAGATCAGAATTTTCTATCATGTTAGTTGCT